TTTCCTTTAAAATATACCAGTTTTGACCTTCCTTTTATTTTACTAATCTTGCCTGTAGTTTTACAGAAGCTATTATTTTTTAGAAAAATAAAAATATTAGTAAAATAGCATGGCCTCTACGATTGGCTACAGCGCATTGCACTAGCTTGTCGCCGAGGCCACAAAAATGGCATTGTGCTGTTTTTTCCTACCGGGAGAGAATAGTATGTATTGGTGTTGTCATCGCATACTTGCCAATGAGGTCTCCCACATTGTCTGGGAGACTCCCGTATTTCAATCATTTCTTGTGTTTGTACGATGCCATGGAAAGCTCCCGGAAATGGAAATTTGTGTGCGAGATCTGGCCGCATTGACAAAAACGCAGGTCAATTCATTCCAGGCTTTTTGTGAGCCCACTGCATTTTGTTATAAACGAGTTTGAGAGGCGTTCATCGCAACGTAGAGTCCCAGTGATGCAAAGCTGAAGCAGATACGATTTCGTGAAATTCGCCAGCCAAATTAATGTGTCCATTGGGCCAAAATCCAAATGTTTCGAACACTTTGTTAATTGCAACGTCTAATATGAACTTTAGCACCGAAACTGTCGAACGAAGGCTGTTCGAGAGCAGTATCCTCGAAGCATCGGAAAGTACGCGTGTGACCACCGCACCCACTGCTTTCTACAGTGCGTGTGATTGTCGTTACCACAACCGCCATGGACAAAACCACAGTCGCTCTACACGATCAAGTATGGCGATGATGTTACTGACAGAATTCCGAAAATGTGCGCGCATGCCCAAAGTTTGACCAGTTATATAAACCCAGCTTTTGGCGAACTCTGTGGACAAATCCGCGGCAGTTGTGATCATAGAGAGCATAAAATGACTTAGTTTTGAAAGCACGTGGATTGCCAACAAAACTACCATTTGCCGCAACCACTGCGCACAAAACCACGGTCATGGTGATACAGTAGCAATGTACGAGCTCTGATGACATGGGGCTGATGCAGCGGAAGAATAAAGGCGGTAAAGACGTAAAAAAGGCCAGAAGCGGTTGGCGTTCCTGTGAAAACAATCTAGTAGCGAGAAAAGCCAACGCTTTGACCTGCGCTTTCGCAGCAGCCAGCTTTTTCGTTCCGTTCGTTCATGTGTGAAAATATACACGAGTTATTTCAATGGAAATCGATTTTTTTGCTAGTTGTTTTGAAGACCCGAAATTTCAGGAAAATATGCGCTCTCTTTGAGACTCTCACCTTAGTGAGAAATCCTACTCTGATGTGTTCAGCCACTCAGAGTCATTGTGAGACAGCAACGCCGTTGTTGGCGCTTGCGTTTGGGACCCCCCTTCCCCCCTTCCTCTTGTTTTTTGGGATGTTATTTTTCTTTTGCTGACAAAATGGTCGGAATAATTCAGCATGTATATTAGACTCATGGCAGCAAAATATAATTATGCTTGTCACTAACGGCAAATTCATCTCAGCTACAAATTAAAAAAAAGTTGGTAGACCCTTCGGTGCCCTTCCTTCCCCGTGCAGGGGTGCTGCGATTTCTCTTTTGCCAGGTTGGAAGGTATTGGGAACTAAAGTGCAGCAAATTGGTTGCTCTAGTAGATCACATACGTTGGCGTCATATGATTGATGTCATAATCTAGCTCGTCCCATGCTGTGTTCTCGAGGCCGATATGCCACAATCGCAGCGAAAAACTAAAGCGCTCTGACAAACCTCATCATCAGGAAAGAAAATCGAAATTGTAGTAGTAGTCTTAATGGTTGAAGTGACAGTCATGTGTGATTTGAAGTACTGTTTACTTGAGACAACACACCTACAAGTAATAGAGAGTTTTAGTTTAGTTTACGCAAGGCTGCATGTCCGCAACGTGCTGCATATGGTACAGTTTTTGGGCTGCGTCCTACAGCATAAGTCTGCCGTGCGCAACATCTGAGAGGTGTATTGCACCTGAACGGCAGCAGGCCTTGAGTGTTGCTGCACGCCATCTCGTGGCGAAGAACGAAGCTGTAAGAACGGATGTTCGTCGACAGAACACACAAGTCAGGGCATGAGACAAGGCGATCCTTTCCCAGGACGAGTAGTGGTTTGGGGTGTTGATGCTAGGTGAATTATCAGCATGAGGGAAAGAGATGGCGAAGACGATCACTTCCCATTTATTTACTTATTGCTTGCTACAGGCAATTTTCAATATCATGAGATAATGAAAAAACGAGGGTTGCTAAACGCCGAATCCAAAAATGCCCCTATTGGCACCGGCGATTTGACGTGTCATTCTTCATGTCGTGATAGCTGCTTTCGCATTGATGAGGGCACCGTGTGAGAGAACATTCACTTCAGTGTAGAAAACACGGACGTGCATCCACATGCGCGCTCAATGCATGACCAGAACTAACCTTTACTTTCTAACACTTAAAATGCTTTTGCAGGCGATTAGTTGAGTTATTTTCCGGTTAGACACGCATTAACCACCACAGTTCAAAAAGACCGATGCCCCGTACACAACCCACAAATCTGTCATGGTGCTTCAGGTCACCACTGGGTTTTTGCTTCTTCTTAAGTGACGTGCAGTCGTCCAACATTGTGCTCCAGCTTAGCAGCGATCTCTATCCACTGCACCTGTTCACCTATTGGCTTCAGATTACTTAAGTTACAAATGCACCTAAATTCACATGGACTTCATTTGCTGCCATGACCTTCGTTGTGTTGTCGGTTGCAGCCCTCTTGTCTGTTTTGGTCTTGGCTGTTAGAGATATGGCGACTCACTAGTAGGGCACGCAATGGTCCTAGCGGGTGCAATGTAAGTGCCGAGATCTAGTGTGCACACCCCTTTCATGCGCAAATGCACGCATCTCTCTTAAGTTCAGCAAATGGCTCTCATGCCTCTGTCGCGTGTTGCGTACTCTAGACTGTTGCGCGCTTATTTAAAACTCTGTATTTACAGGCTGGTGAATCTGCGTTACTGAAAAAATGAAAACAACGAACGCAATAACAAATGTCTGCCATTGACCTAGAGATGGTGGGATAACACGAGCAGTCGATACATATGCACTCATATGTGAGTTATTGCTGGTCACAAACACTGTGCACTCATTTTCCACATGTACTAGGAAGGCATACTTGTTTTTAGAGTGGTAATTAGCTGGCAAGGGAGACTTGAACCAGCCTAGATGGCTCAAGTAGGTAATGCCAGTGCAAATTTGCCTTTAAAATTTGAAATTTATTTGAAATCTAAACACAAGTGATAAATACATGTGTTGAATACAAATACAGAAGCAGGTCTCAAAGTCACAAGACTGAGTCTTTCCTATAAAGAACTCGACAGTCCCTCCTAATGTGGCCAATCTGCAGGCAGCGCAAACATCGCAACGCTCTTCCGGTTGCCACAATAAGTGCGAGCTCTCCTCCTACTCGTAACTGGTAAGGTATATCGTCCAGTGTAACGTTAACCGTTAGCCGGAGCGTCACGGTTCTCGTCATGGTATTCTGCTGGGTGTAGCCGTCAATTCGCCACTTATCCATTCCTACGCCAAGCACCCTCCCGTAGGGGTCAGTGCATTTTGTACGTCCTGTTCTCGTACGTGGTAGAGCAACCAATTCAGCTTCAGATGGACGTCGCGGTGGCTTGGGTCGATTACCATGCGTTTAGGGCCTCCCACAGTCCATTGCGGATCAGTTAAAGGTGTCTTTAAATCGTCAGTGCTTCTGCACGTCACCCCCCACACGTGGTTCATTTGATAAGCACTGAGCGCAAGAACCTCGGTGGGCTGAACTCGTCAAAGAAGTGGCTCGCGAAAGTCTTCCGCGTGATAAGGTCTTCCTTTTACATCCGCATGCATAAAAACAGTGTTCTGAACCACATACCCATTCGGCAGAGGGGGCAAAATAACAGCATAATCCTGGGGCATTTCAATCCTGAAACGCGGCTAAGCTGAGCCGCTGACGCCGTTCCTACGGAGCTCATGATAGACACCACGGCCACGCATGTTTATAAAATGCAGTGAAAGAATTTCCTCTGCTTGGAAATGCAGTAAAATTACCTTTCACACTTAACAAACACACACGTCCTGTGTACACGCTTTACAATGCAACATGAAATAGTGCAGTTATAATGCGTGGTACAAGCTGCCATTTTCAGCGGGCGTCATAACATGTCATTGTCGTAATGGTTTTGTGGTTTAAAACCGGTCCCCCACTACAAAAGGTACATGAGCTACTGTACGTATTCCCTTGAGGCCACGTAGTGGGCGCGTAACAAGTTCGAAAAGGTTTTATGCACCACGTGTTTGATGCACGCAGTAGCAACAGGATATCCTTATCACCTTCAACTCTCAAAAACAAAGCTTCAGGGTCCCTTAATTTGTTTTTTAACTTTTACACGTGCTATCATGTCATCAAACCAGTAACAAGTTGAGATAGTAAGGAACAAGATCCTTATAAATTATAAAATGTATATATACCGAAGTTACAACGATTTCCCTAAAAGTTTCTGGCGTGGAGACTGCTCAGTCAGAAATTGAATGCGAATGTGTTCCAGGAACTCATTCCGCAGAAAAGGTCGTTTTCATTGAATGGCATTAGTTTCCCCTTGTGACAGCAAAGGAAGGACATTGAAAACGAAGTACATCAGATTTGCTGTGTGACAGGGTGTCGGAATGCTCACTAGTCATGGCTGCAATATGCTACGTATCATTTTAACGTTTGGCGTAGTAGCGCAAGTTTGATGGGGACACTGAGGACAACAAAACACGACACTCGCTAGTCTCACAAACAGTGGCGTGTTTTCTTGTCCGCTGTGTCCCCGTCGAGTTTGCGCTACTACACCGTATGTTAATATGATATCTCACCAACTAACCCAGCTCTCAACCCTACTGAACTTCATACGCTAGGTAGTTGCTACAACCTGAAATATGTTTGTATCAATAGAGCGTGTATGTTTCCTGGCACATTTGCTCGTTTTCGGCTTCTAATCAGTGATGTTGGCTTTGTGTTGATGTATTTACTTGGTAACATTCCAAAAAATAAAGACAAAATGGAGCAACCGAGAACAAAGAGGCGCCGAAGCAGTGAAAGCTCCAAAGAAGAGCTTGTCGAACTGAGTCCACTGGAAAAACAGAGGGACCTGACGAGGCAGCTAAAGAAAAAAAAACAAAAGACTACAGGAAAGAGCAGAAAATACTTGAAAGGAGGAACGACAAGCTGCAAGACATGCTCCAAAACGAACTCAGTAAGTTATAATTATTTCATGCTGCCTTTTCGGATTTTTGAAAAAATTATTTTTCATGCTGTGAGTGAATGATGTGGATATGTGTGCCGTAACGCATTTTCTTTGGCATCTTCTTGTTATTTTGATGCTTTTTGTTCCACAATAAGGAAGTTGTACCTGAAAAAGCCCTTTGAATTATTGTTGTACAGTCGACATTCGATATCGCGGACACTCAGGGGATCGCGAAAGGTCCGGGAAATCAGGTAGTCTGGAAAAACGAATGCAAGTAAAAATACACTTCTTAATATGTATTTTTCACTGATGGAGAGGGTCACGGCAGAAGTACAGGATTCTCATTGCAATTCAACAAGTGCATCATTTAGGTGGCCCCGAAAAAAGCCGTTTGTAATAAAAAAAGCGAGAAGAAAAAATTTGATGTGACCGACGCTACTGCATTTGTAAACAATGGGCGCTAAAAGGGCTCGCTTATTTTCGTTTGCACGAAGTTCCACTTGCCTCGATTATGTATGCCTCAATATCAGCTCATGTCATGCTGTCACTGTACACCTATGACAATGTCATGCTCGCGTCAACACCGAACTTGTTGCTCGTGTAGGCTCTGCCTCTTCGATTTCTGTGTCAGAGTTGTCGAAACCTTTCGTAACTTGAATGATCTCGTCACCGGTCAATTCCGCACACAGCTCAAGGTTTTGTTAGCGTCGGCAAAGCCCTCAAAGGTTAGCCCGGTTGGAATCGAAACACCAGCACCGTGCAGGTCGTTGAAGCAATGACCGCAGTGGGAAATTCTTTACACACGCTGTCCTGTCTAGGCGAGACTGCCGTCTTGACGTACATTTTAAAGCTGGCGTGGCAAAAACAGTTGCGGGGGTCTGTTGCGTTACCGCCTTACATGAGTCGGGAAGCATGCCGACGGCAGACTATAGATCAAGAGCGTAGCTTTCCCATCGGAGCACAGCCTTATAGTAACAGTAGTAGCAGCACCATGCAGCTGTAGCCACAGGTTTGCCTAAGCCACGGCTGGCTACAAATTGGCATGCACTGGATTCCGGCATTTGCGGTGTCGAGGGTACGGCAGCCACGTCACAGTGGGTTCGAGGGTATCGAAAGAACTAAAATAGTGGCGTTGTTAGTGACTTTAAGTCCACTGTTAGCGGTAAAAAGTTGGAAAAATCGGACGGTGAAAGCTCGAAATGTCCGAAATTTTCAACTTTTTAATACATTGACTCTATGGGCAACTTGATGGGGCCACAGATCAGTCCGGGAACTCAGGCATGTCCAGGATTTCGCTCGTCCGAGAAATCAGACGTTAACTGTATGATCAGACATAAAGGAACCGAAACTATGCAGCCCTTTATGGAATGAGATTTGTGTGAGAGAGTGGCCACTTAGTGTGGAAATAGCTGTGATAGTTGCTGAATGGTGTTTCCTTTTGCGACATTGCAGAGGTTACAGCAGCACAAGCAGGAAACGGCAGCCAGCAAAACATATGTTCTGTGTGAAATGGACTTCGCTCTTCCTACCCTTTTTCACCAAACTGTAGACGGCTCCAGCAAGGTAACAGAAAAAATTGTGGCTTTAGGCACGATGCCAACAGACACTACCCATCAAATTGCATTCTTTCTCATCATTATATTCATGTGTACCGGGGGAGGGGAAGTCAGGCGCCTTAGCAGCTTAGCAGAGGAGGAACATATAACATCACGACCCACCCTGCCGGAACTATTAGCTTTCTTCAAAAAAATTCCTTAACAAAAATGCACCTCTTTAGCAGGAATCGACCAATAAAGAAGACTGCCATTTGAAAACTATAACGAACACTTTGAATTGTCGGACACTTGGAGGAGTTGTTAGTATACAACTGTCTCAAGAGCAGGACTGGGTAGCATTGCGATACAAGAGTATAGGGATAGAATTTCAGAGATACTTCTGAGTATCTGCATTGCTGTATTGAGATACTTTTTAAAAATGTATTTGTATCTCAGTAGTAAAATATTTTTACGATGTATGATCCGAATCGCAATACTATCCAGGGCATGTGTATGTGGTTACTTTTTTTTCGGAAATGCGCTAAGATGTGTTTACAATGGCAAAAAAATTATGCTGTTACCTTAGCATTGTGTGGCAAGATATGTACCCATCATTTCTACATTTCTTCTCAGGGGGAAACTGACTCCTACCTTCTTGAAAGTGAGGTAGTTGCTTTGCTACCCGCATTTCATTGTGCAGGCAGAACTGGAATGTGTTTGAATAATCACCTGCTTGGGAGCTTGCCAATAATGTTATACTGACATTTTGAATTCCAGCAGTGAGGAGCATTGTATATGGCAGAATAGGCGCCAACCAACAGCGTCGTTTTTAAATTGTCTTCTCTCATGCCAATTTAACGAGCAGTGCTTCTTTTTTCTCATTTTTTTGTTTTTTGCGGCATCTATTTGAAAAAGCGGAGCTTTACGAGGAAGTCACAAACCACCCCAAAAAAAATGTTGTGTGGATGCCGTGTGCCATCAATGATACTTCTTTCTCCAAAGCATTTCTAAAAGATAGCAAGTGCGGCCACACGCTTGCTAGTCCTAGTCAAATGTGACCAGCACAGTTTGAAGATTCCTGTCTACAGAAAAGAAACACACGACATCAGGTACCGGCATTGACTTGGTGCAACTGACAAACCAGAATATATCGATGGTTTTCCCACTTTTCGCTAGAACCAATAACATCTGCACAGTGCAGAGTAGCAGGGCTGCTGACCTACAGCAACTGCAGAGATATCTTGGCATCCGGCTACCCGAACTCTAGTTAAACGCCATCTCTTTCAGCCGCAAAGATCTGACCATGTGTTCCCAAGAAAACGTGGCACTATACTGTACTTGTCTGATGCGTGCGAGTCAGGCACGAGTTCAAATGCCATTACGATGTCCGAGTAGTTCCGTTCCTACAAAGAAATTGCATCATTGGCTGGTTAAGATGAAGGACAAAAAAAGAAATGTATCTTGATGCTTATTGAATACCACGTTGATTGTGATTGTGTATCTATCAGTGAGACTGCAAAATTTCGAACATCAGGTCAGACAGCATGTCGATGATGTCAACAAGGTAAAGGTGTCTTCCAATGCCTTGGTAAAACACCCTGAAAACTTGATCAATATAATAGATTAGGATAACGGCATAAGCTTGGGACGAAAAATCTTCAGGACACTACTTGTAATCAATGCTGTTTTAAACAATGGACACACATAACACATGAAATCTTCTTTCTTATCTACACTCGCTGTTTTCAGTCACTTTTGAAGACCTCATAAGTATATTTTCACTCCGTCTTGCTGTCACTCTGAACAAGACTTCCATCATGGAAGCTGAAATCTCTTATTTGTCTTCCTTTTCGTGGTTGGTGTCATAAATTTATCATGTTCTCACCCTAACAGGCTTCTGTCAATATCTCAACTTCACCCATCTTTTTGAGTGGAATGTATACTACACTATGCATGGGATTCATTTTCTTTTTTTATAACACGTTTTTTAGAGAGTAAAGTGGTAAGGCAATCAGGTTGGTGCACTTCAGAGTATGAAAGAGTTTTCTGGCACCCGAGGAATGAAGGAAAAAGCATTCCGGTAAAATCAGGAAAAATATCAGCCTGGCACGCTGGTGTAGATTTGAGCAAATGCAACCTAATTGTGTTCATAATAATCAGATTGTGATATATTGAAGTTCTGAAAAAGTAATGCTTCGTTCAGGACGCAATTTACTTATGCATTTATTTATTTATTTATTTATTTTATTATTTATTTATTTATTTATTTGTTTATTTATTTATCGTACCCTCAGGGCTTTACAGCATTGACGAGGGTAGCGGCCACTGACGAACAATGTTAAAGAGAAGAATACATAGACAAGACACTAGAACATTATTAATTACTGGGAAGCAACTATTATCATCTGCAACTTTGTTATACAGCCAGTAGATTATACAAGAAAACTAACAACAAAATCAAACGTTTACATTTCCAGCACCAAGTATGTTATCGAGCGATGTTTTAAAACTGCAAGGCGAGGTGATGGATGCAACTGATTGTGGGAGGTAGTTCCAATCCTTGCAAGTTTTAGGCAGGAATGAGTGGGAATATGTTGATGTCTTGAAGCGAGGAACAGCAACTTTCTGCGCATGGTCAGTACGAGTGGAAAAGTAATTAAGAAATGTGCCCTCTCTATTTTTCACATTGCTCTTTTCCAGAAACATTCGCCGGCCGTTCCTCTTGCCACCACCAATGCAGCAAAGGCGCATCAAATAATCATGGCACCTATAAAAAATGAGGCCACTCACAGCCGCATTCAAGAGAAGGTATGAGCATACAACGCATTAAGATGCTTCATCAAGTGTGAAAAGTGGAGGTCAGCACCAACGAAATTGACAAATATCACCTTGCGATGCCGTCATCGTGGCATCAGAAATAAGTTTCTCAAATTGGTTGTGTCATCATGACGTCACATGATGTCATTGCTTGTTCTAAGGTCGCCTATCCCGGAAGCATTTGTAAAACAACTGAGAGTGCAGAAAGCTGTGGGGAGTCATGGTGGGTCAATACAATCAACCTAAATGAAAAAGATTACTTTCGTTATCTGTTGTTTTAAAGCAGCCGTGAAAGGGGAATGAAGCTGTGCCCAGTTGTTATTTTCCTGCTTCAGTAATGATTAGACACGCCGATTTCAGAACATTTCGATTCAATATTCAGTCAACCGTGTACATCATCAAACATTTTTGCACAACTTATCAAAGAGGAAATATTTTTATGGTGGCACAATCGAAGCAGTACGGTTCTACGAACCTCACTCAACTATGGCTTGGCAAACATGGCTGCGCTGCCACGTTTTGTTAACGGAGACTTCTCATAGGTCGACTTCAAGTGATGTCGGCAGCTCAGTTGAGGCAAATGTGCGAGCCGGGGAATCAAAGTTGTCGACCCTTATTGTTGAATTACTGGTCTAGCAACCTTTTGTGCCAAGAAAGTGCTTATTTTGAAATAAAATCATGTTTTAGTGGGCTGCATAGGGTAGCGCTCTTCAATTTACCCGCTTCAAGCAGCGGGGAGTCTCAAGTCACTGTTGCCGTGCACTCCGTTGCCCGGCTTTTTACTGTACGGTTGCCGACACTACTAGCACCAGTAGTGTCGGCAACCGTACAGTACTACACTACAGTACTAGCCGTACAGTACTAGCACTAAAGCACCAGGAGCCGCATCAGCAACACCAGCCATCGATCAATTTCCTAAAATAGGCTCCGAGATGGCAGACATGTTTTGGCACAATTGGGTTTGGCTAGATGGCACGGCCGGTCTAGTGTAATTAGAAAAATTTTGAATTTTCTAACCACTCGTGCCATTCCCCATTGTTACCCCGGAGGTTCTTTTTTCATGAGTCAAACAAATGAACAAGGAGCATTTTGTTATGTCCTTTGAGGCTTGGAAGGTTGTTTACTTAGTGAGCGAGTTTGATTACTAGTGAATAATTGTAGGCAGTGTGTCTAACAATATTGTTACGGTGCATCATCGACAGGAGCAAAGGATCATTTCGCGAACGTCCTACTACAGCGCATTTGTTCTCGTGCATTTACCTCGATTTCTCAGTAAGTAGGGTACTGCTGTTGATAATACTGTCATTTTATATGTCATACATTGAGCTTTCACTCTCCCGTAAATTGTTATTTGTTAATTAAGCGTGTTTGAATTAATAATATTTGACTGTATTGCACCAAAAACAAAGCGACAAAAGAATATTTGAGTCTGTTTAGACAAGTTGGATAAAATTATAAAACTCACAAAAAAAATTCGATTCAACTTGCAAAAGGAAAGTTGTATGCTTCAAAAGTGTCATATAATTTTTTGGCATTTTCAATGAAGGCCGTTGCAGTTCATGCAGCCATCGCTGCAGGCATCGCCACCGTTGCCACCACCACCATCGCCAACACCACTATGGCCGTACTCGCCATTGTCTCCACAACGATGGTCAGCAACACAATCTTTGCCACCACCGCACCACTTACTGCTACCAGAGCCTCCGTCGCCTTCTTCAGAGCAGCCACGGATGCAGCCATGCCCATTGATGCCACCGGTACAACACCTTGGAAATACTTCAATTGGTTCTCAAGGACCTACCAGCCTAGTTGTACTGCTTTTAAATTGAAATGGCTTTTTCTTTGTTTTTGTTTTCAATCTGATTTAGTTGTTATATTGTCAAGCTAGCCTCCTGTACCTTCTCAGTTTGTTTATTTAATCAGTATACATCTAGTGATTGTTAGTGGTATGCAGACAAGTATTTTAAGGCTTAGCAAATTTTATGTGACCATCTGTCAATGACGAATCGCACTGGTTGAAAAGTATCAAAGTTTTCTCGCCGGGTTCCCCTGGTCAATTCCGAGCAGACTCGCGCTTTCTACTGATAGATTTGGAGCAACCCATTCCGCAATGGGGCTTCCATGTTGTTTCATCTGGCAGAGGTAAATTTTTCTGGAACTTCGGCAATGCATGGCGGTCATTTTTGGTACGATCGGGCAATAAGGTTGTCTTCTACGTTTTTTTAGGTGGGGTCTCATCACTCGATGGATTTTTTTACATCCCAAAAATGGCATCGTTGGACTTTGCTGGACAAACTGGGGGTCAAGCTTTGACAGTAGTAGCAGCTGCAATCACAAACCGTGTGTGGAAGTGATTTTTAAGGAAATGTTGCCTGACCGGCTGTGCAGATGCCCGAAGATCATTGGCTAGGTCGAAGAAGTTCAGGAGTCAGTTTAAGTGCCGTATGCATAAACAGCTTCTGGAGCGACCTCATGCACAGCATTCATGTGTTCTATTGGTAGATTTGGCTTGGTGTAATACGTTTTTAGATACTGTCAGTGTGGTACGCACGCGCTGCTGCAGCGGCGAGGAGCGGCCCCCTCTCGTATACCGCGGAGCAGCGGCGCTGCTGTCGCTTTGGGATTAGTGAAGGAGCATCGTCTGCTACCTCTGTATGGGAAACAGCAGGAATTTAGTTTCCAAATATGCGGATTTTAGCTAAAGTAGCTAAATGAGGGCCGATGAATACTACTTAATGGTAAATAAGGTCAGGGCCTGTACCTAGGAAATATAATATTTACGTATGTCTTGACCATTACCTGCAAGATTTTTCAAGGATTAGCAGCTGTTCAGTCCTTGAGAACTGCAGGGTAATTTGGGGGTTTGAAGAAGTACTGCTGATCACAAGTGTTTTCTTCATAGGCATAGCCACGTAGACAGCCCGCCGCACTGCAGATCGACATGTTTACTGTGTTCAACTGCTAATTCACTCAAGCTTGCTTGATTGTTGTGTACCATGGTAAATACTATTTGCGATGACAGAAATCTAACCTTCGAGCTCTTGCCGCTGTAATCTGAGCAAGCAAACTAAAAGAAAAAAAACTAATTCAACGCTGCCGCGGGAAGCCGGCGGTAGATCGTTCTTAAGGCTACGTTAGCACCGCGCCCCTCGGAGCGCATACGAGTTGGTGCCGTCTCCAGAGCGGGCTTTCCCAACTGACAGTATCTAAAAACGTTGGTGTAAGCCGTGTGCTCGCTTCAAGACTTGGGCGGCTGTTCCGGATCTCTCAGTCAAATTCAACATAATAATAGTTGTACACGTAGCTTCACTCACCATAAAACCTAAATGTAAATTTAGATAGGTTTTAAAGCTATTGGCATATGTTTTTACATGAATAATTATTCTTGACAAGCTAGTTTGAGGAAACAAAATTCTTCAAGTGCGTGGACTAAGTTTTATAGTTTAATCACTGGAAAGTAGGATGTCATTCTGCCATAGTTGGTGTATGTTTAGCTGTAAGTAAGTTGTGATTATGGGCAAACCTTGCGCAATTAGTATTTTTGAGCATTCTAAAATAATTCAGTTCTTACAAAAGCTAGTTTGAATGCCGTCATGATTAAGTGATAACTAAACAAGTCAGATGCAAGTATTATGAAGTTAGCCTAGGCAAGGCGAGCAGCATTAGAGTAAAAAGAACTGTGGGTAATTATGTGTATGCCCCGATTCTGAATGTTCTCTATTGACGAAAGATTATTGTTATCCATATTTGCCCACGTATTAAGGCCATAGGTGATTTCACTGTTTATGAAAGCAGGACAACAATACGGTGTCACAGGAGATAAATAAAGAAGATTTGATGAGGGCTCGTACACAGAAGTCCGTCTTTCGTTTAGCCTAAGCAATATGATGGGTAAACTTCACCTTAGGCTCAAGTTTTTGCCCTGGAAAACACACCAAATTGCGGTAAATAAATTATGATGGTCAATTAAAAGAGAGCTATGTTTTAGAAACTGTATAAAGCGTGAACTTAGTTTTAAGTGGGATAAAAAAATAATTTGTTTAAATAACACCGTTTACAACATTGAGCAGTTGGTTGTGCAGCTCAGTGATTGGGCTCTAATCAATTTATGGAGCATGAGTTGGAAAAACAATAGGAATAAAAGCTTTAGCAGCTGCTATTCGGCAGAACAAAGCGAAAATGAGGGTTCATAGTAATGTTGGGTCTGAAAATTAACAAAAAAAAGTTTTGGAAATAATGCTTAGCTTTCATACCTGGAAGCCATGCTGGCATATGTGTGCCTAATTTTTACTTTGTAGCTCATCGACTTTTCTTTTGTTCTGCCTTTTAGGGTTTGGGTTGCCGGTGATGAAGTGACACTGTTTTTTCTGGCGGACAATGAAATAAGTATCTCTACAGTAGCTTGTGAAATTGGGCTAGTTAGTATTGGTTCATCTTTTCACTGAATAAGGGCACGCACAAACACTTGAACACCGCTCATGTTGTGCGCATTTCGTTCTTCTAGTGTCCGCGTCTGTGTGCATCTCTTATTCAGTTAAACGATCAAGTAGCTTAACTTTTTGTAAATTTGTGTTTATTCTGTGCAATACTATCACTACTGGGTTGAATGATAGTTATGCAACTTGCATTGCACTTGCACTTCTGTGTATGTATATGCTTAGTTTATTCATCTATTACGGATATTTTTGCAAATTATGAACTGGTGAATTCAAAGATTCAGCAGGTTACTTCACGAATGACCAGTGCAATCTTCTGCATTACCTTTTTTTTGAAATGTCACGGCATTCAGTACAAGCTTCATAAATATTTTTGTGACAAGTAATAATGTCAGGAAATGGGGAATGAATAGAGGCTCTGTCTTTTGATTCCTGCGAGTCTCTTATTATTGGACTTGACAAAATAAATTTTTATCTGTAATGTAGTAGAGCAGTTTTTGTCAGTGCCAGCTCTAAGTGCCTTTTAGGGTTTCTGGTGTTCTCTTATATTTTAGTAGAATATTATAGACTCAACATAACTAACAACTATAACACAACTG